CTGGGAAAGCCCCGTTTTGGAGAGCAGGTCTCCCTGCTGAGCTGAACATATAGCACCTTCTAGTGTGCGTAATTACACGTTGCATGCAGCTGCCTGGGTCGGTCTTGTGCAGTTTTGTGCTGTAGGTAGCTGGTACTTATGATGAAATGTGGTGAAATATTAAATTATAAATAGCAGTATTTAATTTAATTTAAAAACGTCAGATTCCAATAAAAATAGTTCAATGTTATTGCGGATTGTATATATAGTATAATATTTATTTATAGTAACAAGTTCATTTTGTATGCTCCAGTTGTGAAGTCCAGCACAGAGAGGGCATTTCGTCTTTAGTGGAGGGAGACATTTGAAATCGTATTTGTCAGAGTTCACCCTGTCAGAACATATTAACTCTCTGTGCTCTTTTGTTTGGCCTTAGGGCTTGTTGTAAAATGTGTGCACCCTTACTGTCCTGCTTTGGTGCACCATATTAAATTATCTGTGTGATTTTGAATATTGAATGGTAACCTAGACTGATCCTAGACCTAAAATTACTTTTTAATGAAGAAAAGCTATTGAATGTGTGATTTGGCACAGTTTGGGTCTAATCTGTAACTGGCGCACTGCCCATTCACATTTAATTGAGCTTTTCCTGTAAGCTGAAGCAAGATTTCATTGCATTTATCACTGTCTGCTCATTTTGTAATAAAATCCTGGTTTGCTGCAGGTCTGTGGGTCAGAAGTGGTGCTGGATACATTAAAAAAGAGGGCACTCAGATGACATGGAGTTTTGTGGCTCCAAATTTAGGATACTGGCTTGCAGCATTTCCCTCAACCTCAGGTGAGACCAGCAGCAGTTACAGCAGTTGAAGTATTTACATTTTCCTTGATCAGTAACCATTCAATTACACCGAATGACTTTAAAGAATCAATTAATTTAAAAATGTTGTTTAATATCTATATTCATCTTTGTATAACATTACTTTATTTTAATCTGCCTGGTTTCATTTTGGTTTAATTGGTTTACTTTTTTAATGCTTAAGAGATGGGTAGATAAAACAAAAATACTTCTTTTTGTGTTAAAGGAGCAGGCCTGAACACCTCTGGTCTAAGGGACATCACTACCTATCACACTATTTTCCTGCTAGCGATTCTGGGTGCCATGGCTCTGCTAGTGCTTATTCTGCTGTGTTTGCTACTGTACTACTGCAGGTATCGTTGCACTGTGTGTACGTTTGTTGTGTGCCTGAAAAAGTGATTAATAGCTTATCCTTGTAGGCTTGGCCTTAGCAAGTTGTAAAACCAATGTCAAGTCTTGCCATGAGCTTAAGATCACTTCCATGAGCAAAATGAGCAATTCAATAAACTATATTTTAATTAGTCATTATTTTGGTGAAACTGTAGTAGGTAGCTATGTTAACAAGAGTAATAAATGTTTTCTTTATCTTTATATGTATATTTGGTATAAATATCTAACATATTATTATAATATTTCAGGAGGCGGTGTCTAAAACCTAGGCAGCATCGCCATAAAATGTACCTCTCATCCACTCTGGAAAGCTCAAAGAGAGACCAGGGGACATCCACTTCCCACCTAAATCTCATCAGCGGTGGACACATGGAGACAGTGTCCTCGGCCGCTGACCATGACGGCATCAAATCTGACCTTTCCTCCAACCGTGATCTCCACAGCTCTCGAGAGGACTTCTTCAGACATGGCCCCACCCAGAGACAGCGCAACTCCAGGTTGAACGCTGACACAAAGCAAGGAGATAGCTTCCCATTGAAGACCACTCGCTCTTCAAACACAGGAACTCGAGACCCACTCCTGCAGGATGACTATAGCAAAGGTTACAGCTCTAAGGAGGACTCTGATGAGCGCAGATACCATCATCACAATGCTAAAGACAACCAGGGCTATTCATCAGACCCACCGTCTCCACCTCCACTTTTGCCACCATTTACTGGCCACTATCAGGATCACAGTCGGGACAGCAAGCCCCCAGAGTATTATGCATCGGCAGGGGATCACCTCAGTCGGCCCAGTTCCATTAACACCCAGCCTGGCCAGCTGATCTTCTGTCACTCCATGGAGCAGATGAAGGAGAGCATGTACCACAGCATGGTGCCCACGCTGGTCATCCCTGCACATTATATGCATCTGTCCTCTGACCTATCAGCTGTGGAGCAGGCAATGGAAAGGCAGCAACAGCTGCAGCATGATATGGAGGGCATCCAGGTTAGCATGACGCTGCCACGGCAACAGAGTCAACACCAAAAGCAACAACAACAACAACAGCAGCAGCAGGCCAGACAAGAAAAGGAAGAGGAAGAGTCTAGCCAGAAAGCAGAGGGGCCTTCAGAGGAGAACTGGGGATCGGAACAATCCACTGCCCCCGTCCGTATTCCTGTCCTTTTCAATGACTCCACCATTGCGCAAATGAATGGAGAGCTGCAAGCGATGACGGAGAAGAAGCTGCTGGAGCTTGGAGTAAAGCCACACCCTCGTGCCTGGTTCGTTTCCCTTGACGGCCGTTCAAACTCTCTTGTTAGACACTCCTACATTGAGCTAAGCAATGAAGCCTTGCGTGCACCCGTTGGCCCCAGCAGTCTAGCCCAAGACCACCGTTCTGAAGCACTCCCTGTGAGTTCAGGGAGATCTACTCACCAGAAAGTAAAAGAGGAGGGCAAAGCGAAGGAGGGAGGTGAAAGAAAAGCTCACGGAAAGATTTATTCCAAGCTTCCCGTTATCGAAACGGCAGACTCGAGTAGCGAGAGCCATCCAGCCATGTACTCACCTGAGGAGAACGCCACAGCGCCACTGCTTGACAAGACCTCTGAATCCAGAGGAGGGACGTTCCCTCGTAAAGGCCGCAGTCGGGACAACAGCACCCGCAGTAGTGCCAGCGAGGTCCACAGAGACTCTGTCACCAGTCCTGATGAAGACAATGAAGCTGACGACAAAGATGACGATGGAGAGAATAAGAAGAGCCCCTGGCAAAAGCGTGAAGAGAGGCCCCTCATGGTGTTCAATGTCAAGTAACGCACATGCTGTCCAGGACTGGTTATGGCAACATCTTGGCTATACCTTAGATGCTTACTAGTGATGAAGAAGGAGCGTTGGAAAAGAGTCAGATGAAAAGCACAATAAGAAACATGGCACTTACCTGAGTGATAGGCATCTGTTCCAACCATCAAGACTAGGTACCAAGAATTAGCGCTGAATGTCGCTTGTAAAGAAGCAACTAAAGTCCTCATACCCTTTTAGATGTCCTTCAGATGGTTTAAACATCTGATGTAGTTCTGGCAGCAGTTCATAAGGCCGTAACTTTGAATCTGCACTCTTCTCAAGCTGTTGTCTCGCTTTCCTTAAGTGATACCCATTTTTTGTAAGAATGACCATGAGCCATTTTAAACTTTAGACTTTGGGAAGCAATCCATAAGCCTTAAAGAGTTTTTCCTTTTCAAAAGAAATATAAATGAAAATTAATATCAATGTGATATAGGTGAAAAAGAGGGCTTGAAAGATTTTATCAGTCTAGAATGACTTTATTGTAGTGGTTTACTCAAATGTTTCATTTGTTTATATTACTATGTAGAGCTGAACCATTAAGGTGTGTGGAAATCGAACATTTCACAAACAGAAGTGAAATGTTAGCTGAATTAATTTGTGCGTTTACTCCAGTGTGACTTATCAAATCGTGGTTGATGCATAATGACACTGTATTTTGTACTGTTGGTAAAAGTTCCCCTTTTGTACTTAACTAAAACCAGTGTTGCCATTTTTTTTATATATATATCTTTAACGAGACTGTTTGGGTTAGGAAAGCTGCTCTTTGATATGAATAAAAGGTTCTGCTTATATACTGTACAGAACTAATTTTGTACTCTTAATAAGCCTTTCCTGTTGGTTCAGTGCAGCAATAGAAATTGTGTTTTGAGGGACTTACCTTGGACACCTGTGAAAATGTTTCCGCGCTAATCTTTTGCTGCAGTGCATTGGAACATTTGCCATAAATCAGAACCACTGCAACTCTGCTCTGTTAACTGTGGAAGTACAATTTTGAACCTTTTTCTTTTATGGACTTTTTGTGTGTGATCGATGATACAGATTGTGCTTGAAATGGATGTGCATAGATGAATTTACACAAAAAAATATTGTACCAAGTATTTTTTTAAAAACAAGTATTGCTTGATTAAGCACTCTTACTAAACTCTGTGAACCACTTATTTGTAAATAACACCTTAGTAAATTTACACTCTCACTTCAGTCTTATGCATTTTATTTCTGACTACTAATCACCATCGTCCTCTCAGCCAAGTTGTTCATAACACACTGTACCTGTTATTTTCATTCAGTAGTTGACATTTTATTGTAATACTGACTTTGAGCCTTACCCTCGTAACATGTGAAGCATTGGCAAATTTCTGTTGAATAGGCCTACATTATTCCAAAATTCAAAGAGAATCTACCATTCTCGTACCAACAGTAGTCTCTAACTATTCCTCTTCATATGAACTGCTGAATTTTCACAAGTGTCCTCAACTTCCTGGAAAGTGTATAGTTTTCCTTCAGTGATGTTCCTATCTCATTACAGAAGTTATGCTGAAAAATGTATTATATTATTAAAAACATTTTCTTATTATTTAGATTTGTCCATCACCACCTGTAAAGTTGAACAGTCTTTGGCAAGTATATTTGGAACAGTTTGCGGTGCATCCCTATCCTTATTTTTGGTTTTACTTACCATAAACTAAATAAATATTTTTATTTAATATTGTGTGTCTACTGTCTACACATGACTAAGCATTTGTCCTCTGGGTGTGGGCTATGGGCAGTCACTAGGTGGCACAAGGTTACAAGGATTTGTCCTTTTTAAATTCACTGTAATGTCCTTCGATGGGTTCCCATCATTTTAGGAACATTGCTTTTTACACCGTTGACGTTTACTAAAGTAATCCACGCCTAGTTCAAATTAAAGTCTGCCACTGGCGGGCACGTGGTCGGTGGCGCGCCTAAGTATCCTCGAGCGTGCATCAAGCTTGACAGCATAATGCGCGCACCCGTGTTCCTCCGGATGCGTGTTTACTCAGTCTCCTCTCTCCACCCTTGAAATGAGAGAGGTACGGAGTGGAAGGGACATCGTTTTACAAGAAAACCTCCACGAACGGACATCCAAGATCAAGACCGGCCGACAGACGAGGGCGAAGCGCGAAGAGTCCAGGTGTAGCGCGTGGAAAAATTGATTCGACACCAAGGTCAATTATCTTTCTATTAAAAAAACCTTAAGGCACGGAGAAATCACGAACCTCTGAGGATGGAGCAGGTATACGGGGCTGGCAAGGCTGGCGGCACCTTCGATCCAATTACGTTCTTTCAGCAGCCGCAGATTATTCTTCGAATATTGTCATGGGTGAGAGGAATTCTGCTAATTGCATAATTTAAGCGCGAGCGTCATGTGATGTAAAGCTTTGCCGCCTAAATGCACAATCTCCCGCTAATCTGTGCGTTCGCAATATATTGTTTGGGTTTTTATTTATTTTCTAGTTAAAGAGACATGTACATGAAAATATTGAGATACAATCCTATCTTTAAGTATTGCAGCGTGTGCATCACATTTGAATTGTAAATATAGGACTAGAGCTGATATAGACTAATTTTCTTAAACTATTATAATATTTTTTAGAAATTTCTGGAATACTTGATTCTGATTGGTCAGTCGTGATATTCAACATACAAATATTGCTGTATAATGTCTGTTGTCCAGGTCGACACTGTCTAACTAGCTATAACAGACCACTCATCTTATGTTACCGAAATAGCATGTTCTGATAGTAATTCCAATTGAATGTAGCCTATCTATTCATAAAAAAAAAGAAACAACAACTCACACACCATTAATGGATCTTATATAAAGAATAAAGCATGCAGAGGTTTGGAAAGCAACAGCCAGGCTGTGACAGTAGCTTAAGAAGCTCAATATTCATAAAGGAACCTTTATGGCAATGTCTACTGCCCTGTTACTTTTATGGGGGAGGTTTCTGTCTGTTAACTAGCTAAACAATGTTTAACACTTTGTTTCTTTGGTCATTTCCTCAATCTCGATTCAGTCAAGTGGCTCCTGGTTTGTTTAAACATTTGGCCCTTGCATGAATGAGCATGTGTGCATTATTTGCTGATAAAAGGGGGTGGTGGGAGATTAGAAGAGGGTGGCTGATGTGGGGGGCGGGGTGGGCAGGTGTCTGAATCGGTGATTAAGCCACAACTATGTAATAGTTGATCATTCAAGAATTGAAATGATTTATATATCACAATCGACACACAAGGATCTTGTAATATCATAAATGAGCACTGACTCAGGGTTCATTGCTCGTCTATAAAAATTACATTCATTGCCAACAGAAATTAGCAAAATGCTAAAAGTCGTGGCAATGTTTATAAAACAATTCTGTGGTTATGCTTTATATGAAGGCTTAGAATTATTACATTTTTATACTATTATAGTATTTATCATTATGGTATAGATCATTTTGTCATGTCCTTTATTTGAGTTTTAGTTATTTTAATAATTAAACATATTTCAGTTTGCATTTTCAGTTAGTTGCCAAGGCAGCATTTCTCATTTTCATAAAGTTTAAGTTTTTATGTGATATTTATATTAAATTAATGAAGTTTAGAAAATTAAATTAGTAAAAAATACTTTTGCAGTAATCATGAGCAACTGAAATTCATGGAAATTCACTGGTTTTGGCTGTATTGGATAGCCAATATGACCCTTTCACAAAACTGTGATGGCGCGTTTAACGGTCATCAGTATTGTAAATCCTCAAAAGTTATTCATATTTGTATTTTTTTTTTAAATGTATGTACATTTATAACACTATTCTTTGTATTCTATTACCTTTGCATCAAATTACAAAAAACTGGTTAACGCTGATGCGAGGGTGCTTCTAATGCAGCGTCTATGGGAGGGACAGTAAATTTGACATCGTTCTCTCTTCTGACTGCAGTTATCAGTCTCTTTTTTTTTTTTCCTTTTATTGAGAGTCATGAAAACACTATTGTGGCGTTTTTCTTTTGCTATTTGAGCAAATGGAAATGCAAAAAATATATTTGTGGTACACTCCCATTCACTGCTCTTCAAGTTAACCCAACTATGACGACTTCCGCTGCTGAGAAACCATTGGGAAATTGGGTCCATTGGGAAAGTTTAGGCTTTTGGATAAACCTATGAGATATATTATTGATCATTGTGACCATGTAGAGTCTTTTATATATCCTGGATATTGTTAGTATTAAAGCTGAGCTACATTAGTCTCATTTTCCTTTTGTTTTGTTTTTGTGAGTGCCCTGAGTTCCACCACTTTGAGGCAGGATTTCCTCTTTGTCCATCCATTGGAGGATAGAGAGAGTGTTCGGGAAAACTCCATGCAGTTATTGTACTGTTGGACATCTTTTGGAATCCCATGATTTAAATCGAAACAATTATTGAGGTGACGATACGGTTAAAAATGGATTCTTGGTTTCTGTCATGTAAGCTTCATTCTTAACGCTTATCCCGTTGCAAGCCTGCCCTGTGTGTTCTCTATAAACTGTCCGGGTGCTGCACAGTTCTCTGTTCCTATGTATTCCTAGTAATCTGTGCCTTCTCTGTTCCGACAAAATCACGTTATTAACAAAAACGTTTAAATTATAACGTTTAAATGAATGCTGCCAAATGATTAATTGTGATTAATCGCATCCAAAATAAAAATGTTTGTTTGCATAATATATGTGTGTGTACTGTGTATATTTATTAAATATATATAATTACAAATGCATACAGTATGTATTTTAAAAATATTTACATGTATTTATATTCATATAATTTATATTATATATAAATACATTTAATATGTAAACAACATATTTTTCTTAAATGTATACATGCATGTGTGTGTATTTATTTATACATAATAAATATACACAGTACACACACATATATTATGTGAACAAAAACATTTATTTTGGATGCGATTAATCTTTTGAAACCACTAGCTTAAATGTAAAAAAAAAAATTTGAAATTTGTGAATCAATTCGAATCAGCAGAAGATAGAACTTTGATTAATAAGTGAACCAATTTTTCCACCACCCCTAAGTTCCTTTATATGCACAGAAATGCCAACCTTCACCTTTAAGAGGCAACCAACTGTTGATTTGCCCGCATGTGTGCAGTCTGCTGTGTGGTATCTTCAGGATGGACTGGAGGTGTATTCGTCTGATTCATACTCTTGATTGGCTGAGTGAGTGCTGCTTCTGCGTTGGCATGACAACTATCTGAGACCTCAGGCTGGATACTAACAGGCTCACTATGAGGAAAATGAACATGGATAAACAGTAAAAGGCATTAATGGGATTGCCTCTAGAATATTTCTGGATTTGAACCTTTCATGTATCCTCTCTTTGGCTCTTTCTATGAACTGCAACATTATTGTGAAGCAATCTCCTTAGTCATGTTTCAATTCTGGTGTATACCATGATGGATAGTGTCTGATTCAGGCTTGGAGTCTTTCCTCATTTCTTGTTTGTAAATAGGGTCTCGCTTTAAAATTGATGATCTTTTGGATCTTTGACTTATGTAAGCAGTCTCTTTCCCACAGGAATCCCCACTGACACATATTTCACAGACAGAGTTTGATAACATGAGCGTTAAAAAAACTCTAAGCAAGAATCAGTAGTTCATTCATTTGTTTTCCCAAGCTGCCACACTGTATTCATCCAGCATCTAACTGCAGTCTGTTTCTCTGAAACACAGAATTGCCACATCATTTTCCAGCTTGTCTGTTGCAATTACTCTTATTTGTAAGAATATGAATTATGGTGAAAGGCCTGGCTGTTCTGTCCTTTACAATGAGCATGTGATGCTTTAAATATAGCAGGGTCATTTTACTGTAGTCCGTAATGGCACAGCTGAATACTGCTGCAGGGTGACATACTCTCCATCTCTCTCCATATGTCCACCTTTTTTCCTGCACAGTCATTACGTCAAGAGGGAAAATATAGTTTGCAGAGCCTCTTTATCCCTCTAACTATATTATTATAGTTTGTGATTCATTTATTTCCTGGCAGGATTTTCCCTTGTCTGGTTGTGATATTCTGGCAATGGATCACTGTAAACTCCTGCATTGTGTCTCGTATCTAATCCACATTTATTATATCTTGCACTCTTATTAAGAAGCCTAATAGATCAAATGGATATAAATAAATGTTCTAATGTAAAAAGAATACATTTTATAAAAGAATACATTTAGAGTGATAATACAGAGAATCACTGAGTCTTGAATCAGTGCATTAAAACGGACATCATATGTCCATTTTAATGAATTCACAGTATGTCAGAATATATATATGACCCTGGACCAGAAAACCAGTCATAAGGGTCCTTTTTTTTTTTTGAAAAGCTGAAAAAATAAGCTTTCCATTGATGTATGGTTTGTTAGGATAGGACAATATTTAATATTTATACAACTATTTGAAAATCTGGAATCTGAGGGTGCAAAAAAATCTAAATATTGAGAAAATCGCCATTAAAGTTGTCCAAATGAAGTTCTTAGCGATGCATATTACTAATAAAAATTTAAGTTTTGATATATTTACGGTAGGAAATTTTCAAAATTTCTTCAGGGAACATGATCTTTACTTAATATCCTAATGATTTTTGGCATAAAAGAAAAATCGATAATTTTGACCCCTAAAATGTACTGTTCTACAAATATACCCGTGCTACTTATGACTGGTTTTGTGGTCCAGGGTCACATATGAGAATGTATATGTTGTAGTTTTTATCAGAGGTGCTATTAAAATATCTTTGACTTGAAGTATGCTATTTACCAATGTAGCAGAGCAGTTACAGTGCAGTTTAATTTAATTTTCCTGTTAAACCTATTCTACATATGACTGATGTTTGTGAATATCCTAATCTTGTTTCTCCCGTCATGGACGCATGATTTCTGAATGCTGTGAAACAGTGGTCAGGTTGACTGTGTGGGGGAGCACTTCAGATGTATAGGTGGACTTCATCTGTAGTCTTATGACTCAGTCTCTCTCCCTCTCTCGTGATCTCTCTTTCCCCGCATAGTGAACACAAGGTCAGGGAGATTAAAAGCAAGGGATTGGAGGGGGAGGGGAGAGAGAGAGGCAAAGCTCGGCAGGCATGTAACAGACTGAGAAAAATGACGAGGGCACTATGTCTTTTTAGTGGTCAGGAAGACATCCTTTTAACAATAACTTACACCATCCAGACCATTAGTGATGTAGAATGGTTGCTCTTTTCCATGCAATTACAATAAATGGATGCAAAATGAATACAAATGCACCATAAAAGAATCATAAAAATGGTCCATATGACCATTAAAGCCAAACATACCAAAATTGAAGTCTGTATTCACTCAATAATCAGATCAGCCTGAATTCATCAATGATTCATTCGGACTGAACCAAATGATTCCTTCAAAATATTGATTTGTTCATAACAGAATTCCCAGTTTTATAAATTGTTTTACAGTAATTGATGTTAGATCATCACTGCTGAGCTGTAGATTCATTTTACTCTATAGTAGGTTTACTTTAACCTGTCATTGTCCTGCCCACTATCTAACATTACACAAGCGACCACTGTGCTTTGTGTAAAGAGCCCTGTTGAATAGCTGGACAGCTCTATTCCACTGTATTTCTCTTCCTTTCAAGGTGTTGATTGATTTATTGGTGGGTGAGCCATAGTTGCTGGCTCTAAAATGGTACAAGCACAAACCAGCCCCAGCTGATATGTCTGGATGATTGAAGAACCATCAATTACAATGAAGACCAGTGAAAGCCAATAAAATATGACTCACTGACCTTGTGGGATGTGCTGAACTCTACAAAATATGACATATATGTAATATTTAGGATAGGGTAGCACTTTATTAATCCACTATGGGAAGTAAATGCAGTACAATACAGAACAATAAAAGTCAATACAAAATGGAGAATAAATGTTATTGTAATATTAATATCCAAGATGACAAGCTGGTGAAAAGAGAAGAAATGTAAATGGGTGTATGAATTAATGTACAGTGGTGGCCAAATTTATTAGAACACTAGTATTTTCACCAACTAAAAATGGTTTTGGTCAGTTATGTCTATCTTTTGTTGTAGTGTGTCAGTAGGAAATATCAGTTTATATTTCCAAACATTCATTTTGCCATTAATGTAATAATCCAGTGAGATTTTTGTCTGACAACAGCCAGTGCTGCACACAGAGATCTGATCTGATCATCACCAGTCTGTCTGGAATGACATGAAGAAACAGAAAAAACTGAGACAGACTCAATCCAGAAGAACTGTGGCAACGTCTCCAAGACGCTTCAAGAAACCTACCTACAAAGCTACAGTACTGTTAAAAGTTTTAGGAACTGTTAAAACATAGGATGCTGTCAAAAATAATGTCATAAATAGGTTTTCTTTATCAGTTAACTTCTATTAACTAAATTAAATCAACATTTGGTGTGACCATCCTTTGCGTTTAAAGCAGCTTTTGCTCTAGGTGCACTTGCGCATAGTTTTTCAGCTAGTTTTGCAGGTAGGTTTCTTAAAGCATCTTGGAGACGTTGCCACAGTCTTCTGGATTGAGTCTGTCTCAGTTTGTTCTGTTCCCAGCAGGCACCGGACGTCTATGTAACGTCAGGTTGACGTTGGAAATGACGTCAGACAGACGTTGCATTTTGGTTGAAAATGAAAATCGGGTTGACGTCCATATTTGACGTCTATTTGATGTTGACTTAACATTGGATTTTGGTTACACAATCTAAAAACAACAAAATATCAACGTCAGCTGACGTCGGTATTGGACATCAATTTAACATTGACATTAGATGTTGAATTTACATTTTGGTCACCTGACGTCGCAACCGAAATTTAGCCAAATATCAACGTCTTATGACGTTTTGTGCCTGCTGGGTTTCTTCATGTCATTCCAGACAGACTGGATGATGATCAGATCAGATCTCTGTGTGGAGCACTGGCTGTTGTCAGACTCCTAGTGCAAACAAAAATCTCACTGGATTATTACAATTAATGGCAAAATTAATGT